TGACTAAACGACTTCTTTGTTTCGAAACTTTCTAACCTGACGGTTAAGGATCTCAACTGGTACATCCTCATAAGAAAGACCATCTTTGACAGTCACACTCTCCAATGGCATCACGGAGGCTGGATCACCCATACACTTCTTTAGAAATGAGATGTGGAAAACCATATGCACTGGTGCTAGTTCTGTTGGCAACTCTAACTCATATGCCACTTTGACAACCCTATTCAAAATATTTTAAGGGCCTACATATCTAGGATTGAGCTTCTCTTTCTTGCAAAATATCATCACCCCCTTCATAGGTTACACTTTCAAGAAAACCCAATCATCAATTTGGAACTCTTGTTCCCTTCTCCTTACATATGCATCAGATTTGTGATGAATTTGGGTTGTCTTAAGTATATCTCTAATGAGTTTCACTTTATCCATAGCGTAAAGGACTGAATATGGTCCTATCAAAGTTGTTTCACCTACTTCAAACCAACCAACAGAAGAACAACATCTATGCCCATACAGTGCCTCATAAGGGACCATCTGAATGCTAGAATGGTTGTTATTGTTGTAGGCGAACTCAATAACAGGAAGGTGATCATCCTAACTTCCATTGAAATCAGTCATACCAGCTCTCAACATATTCTCTAGGTTCTGAACGGTATGCTCTACCTGTCCATCCATCTGTAGATGAAATGATGTGCTAAGATTAACTTGAGTACCAATACCCTTTTGAAATGACTTCCAGAAATAAGAGGTAAACTAAGGACCTCTATCTTAGATAATAGACAAAGTAACTCCATGTAACCTCACAATTTCATTAATGTAAAGCTTGGCATAGTCCTCCGCCGAATCTGTAGTCTTGACCGCCAAAAAGCAAGAAGACTTAGTCATCATATTAACTATCACCCAAATAGATTCATATTGTCTGCGAGTAGAGGTAACCCTATGATGAAATCCATATTGATCACTTCCCACGTCCAAGTAGGAATGTCGATCTCTTGAGTCATACCCCTGGTTTCAGGTGTTTTACCTTGACTTGCTAGCAATTGGGGCACTAACTCACAAAATTTGCTATATTCTCTTCATGCCATTCCACCAATAGACTTTCCGCATATCGGGTACATCTTAGTGGCACCTCGATGTATAGAATATCCGAAATTATGGGCTTCTACAAAAATATGTTGTCTCAACTCACCAATATTAGGAACACACAATCCACTTTAGTAGCGAAGTACACCATCACCCCTTGGGAAAAAACCTCCATTGTCTGATTGTGGACTGCACCCTTAAGTTCAAGAAAGATTGGATCACTGTCTTGCTTTCCCTTAACCTCCACTACCAAAGAATATTTGCCCCATTCTAAACTATTACACCACTGTCTGATATGCTCATAAGGTGAACTCCAAGCGAACAAGCCCGTGAACATCGATATATATCTATGCATGCACCCACATGAAAGTATGTCGATTATGTTTGTATGATGATCTAGTCAAGCGTACCCTAAACTAGATGGTGCTTGAATATGCTATGTCCATGTGAAAGGGTTTCTCACATGATTTAGGTTGATGAACTCTCATCTATGACCTATGAGCTAAGCATATGAGGAGTCAATCTCCTAAAGCCTAATTTTACGAAGTAATATTAATAAAGGCGTTCAATAAAGGGAACTTAGCTTAGCACCGAGTGAACTTAGATGAGGGGTTCCCTTTCCCAATGTGGGAAGGCTTGTTCACCATTGTCCTCATGAGGTGGATAACTACAATGCCTCGATAGGCATAAAGAGGGTTTCCATATATACCTCGAAGTTCCATAAACTATGCTTGCCACATAGGATCTAGCAAGTGATATCACCTAATATGCTAGCATATGTTAATGTTCTACTTTGGCTAAGTAGAACACCTTCCCTTGGTGTAAGGCTCCACAACACCAAATTCCATCTTTAGCACCCATGGTCTTAGTGTCGGTTAAGGATATAGTTTCCCTACAATAAAATGGACAATAGAAGTAAAGCTAGGACTCTAACTAGGATAACCTAAGGAAGTTGCTTAGTTATGTGGGGTAATGAGACTTCACCTATGCATTGCACAAGTAGCTCTTGAAGGGAGTTCTAGGAAGGTGTTCTAATGTATATGATCATGTTTATGTTCCTTATGCATGACATTGTAATGTTGTCTACTTGTTGTTGTGAAATGCATGGTATGAGTCTATATGATGTGGTCTTGTCTTTATATGCATAATGTTGGTCTTAATGACTATATGATGAAGGTCTTGCTTGGAGTGAATGAGGTTGTCTATGCTTGTCTTGTTAATGTATGAATTGCATGATAAGGCTTATAGTCTCCTTGTAGGTTTACTAAGTATGTGTGAGGTTATGGATGGGATTGTGAGTAAAGTTCTATGATGTCTTTGTGAAGTGAAGTCCAAGTATGTTAATGATGATTAGTGTCTTAGTATGATGATCAGTAGAAGTCTTGACTTGTATGTAGTCTTGTAATGATTTTTCCTATATGGTCCATAAAGTGTGTTGGGTCCAATGTGAGGTATATGTCTTATTGTATGAGATGGTTCTACGAATGCTTGTTTTAGGTTAATGAAGGTTGAATGCATGGTTTCCTTGTGGCCTTAAGGTGATGCTTGGGTATGGATATTGTAATGTGACATTATCTATACATTTCACCAATGTATCACTAAAAGGTTACTTCAAAGGTTAAGGAATTAAGAAGGAAAAGAAGCTGCTTAAAGGGAAGGGTACTTACTGTAAAGTAGCTCCAATGTGCCTTAAATGCAAATGTATGGTTTTATGTGAAATTGTGACTATTGTATATGCCTAAATGAAGTGTGTGAATTGTATGATGCTTATTGTATCAAGTTTTAAGAAGTTTTCACAAAAGGCATGATGAATAATTTCAAGTAAAATGTCCCTTTTAAATGCATGATTGTCATACTTAGTGCATTCTTGTACTAACATCATTCTTCTTCACCTTTTTAAACAAATTGTAGGTTATGGATTTTTAAAGGATGTCACTCTGATGAAGGGATTGATATGTGTTTCCCAAGCTCAAAGAAAGGAATCCTTAAGATTCAAGGATTTCCTACATTAAGTTTATGTTTAAAGTCATGTAATAGTTAGCTATGTTTTATGTTATAAGGGTCATGTACCTAATGTACTCTAATGATGTTAAGTCTAAGTTGGCAAAGAGGATTAGAGTCTAAATATGTATCTATGTTACTTTTATATTAATGGAAGTGAAATTTCTAGCATATGATGTGTTATGAAAAGTTTTAAATTTTTTGTTAAATTTACCTATGAAAATGTGATGAATGATAACTATGGGCTTGTATAAGACCTCTGAGAGGTCAAGTACATCATGTTACTTCTAGGGGTTGCTCCCCGGTCTTGACAACAGTAATGGTAGACAACTCATCATATACAAGTGGTATCTTCAAAGCTTTATACACATCAATAACTTCCACTTTATCATGAGCCCTCCCTCATAATGAGTTGCCCAGCTACCACATCTATCATTTCCCTCCCAGTTGCTAAGAAAGGTCGCCCTGAGATGAATGGGACCTCAGGATCAAGCTTAAAATTTATTAATACAAAGTCCATTTGAAAAATTAGAGATCCCACTTGCAATAGCACATCTTCTACCACCCTCTCAGGAATAAGCCAACTGCAAAATTATAGTTGTTGGCTTAGGACTATCCAACCCCATCTTTTATACAGCGAACTTGGCATCAAGTTTATGCTCGCTCCCAAAATACATAACCCTTGGGAATGGATACTTTGACCTATCGTAATTTGCACATTAAAGTTGCCCGGATCTTTCAATTTAATGGGCAACATGTTCTGGATTTGGAGTTGCACTCTTCAGTAAGTGCAACTGTCTCATATTCTGTAAGCCTTATTTTGTTCTCCACAATCTCTTCACATACTTTGTATACCTTGGTATACCCTGTAACACATCAAACAAAGGCAAGTTAATATGAACTTGTTTCAAAAGAGAGAGAAACTTATCAAAAAATCCATCATCCTTTTGTTTCTTGAACTTTTGAGGGAACAAAGGAGGTGGTCTCGCTATTGGTTGCACTTTTTCCGAGGGTACAACTACTTCTTCTTTTTTGGGTTAACCTGATTTTGTTCACTCTCTTTGCTTACCGCTCCAATGCAGTTTTTCTTGGGAGCTAACTCCTCCAATTGCAATCCACTACGAGTACTTACAACATTTACCTATTTAGGATTTGGGTCAGTATTTCCAGGCAACCCTCCTTGTGGTCTAGAATTTTGGTCACTAGTAAACTGCCTGAATTGTTTCTCCATGTTCTGAGTGGCTAACTGATTGTTGCACACTTCTGCAGCCAATAAAACTTGGTCTACCATGATTTTCTTTAACATATCCTCAACTCTCATGTTCCCATATTACGGTTTAGGCTGCTCCTCTGCACGTGTGATCGATATCCTTATGAGTTACATTGAGACCTATACTTATTCTGTCCTTGACTTTGATTTTGATTCCCACCCCACAAAAAGTCAGGTGGTTTCGCCAACTTGGGTTATATTAATTCCCATAATTTTTTTTGCCTCCTCTTCTCTGAGCATTTCCTACAAAATTTACAGAGTTTTGGGTTCGCAACACATTTCTCTACACTGTGATCACTTCCTCCGTAGATCTCACACCAAGACGGGTTGTTGAAGTACATTAACTTGAGAGGTTTGTTGTCTCAATGTCATGTTGCTGAAATGTGTATTCATCATATTTTGCATGACAGAAATCTGTGCAGTCAAAGTAGTCACAAAGTCAATCTGTAATACACCTGCAGTTTTCTAAACTACAAGTTTCAGTTCTCTTTCGTTCAACTCTAGATTTCCCTGAGAAATCTGATTCAGCAAGGTGTATAACTCAGCATAGGTCTTCTGTAAGGCTTGTCCACATGCAGCTGAATCAAGCAAAATATTGGTGTTAGATTCCAAGCCTTCAATGAAAGTATGAACTAACACCTCGTTGGACTGATGATGATGAGGGAAACTCATCAACATCGATTTGAACCTATCCTAAGCTTGGTACAAGTTTTCACCACCCCTCTGTCTGAAACTTAAAATGTCACTCCTCAATTTACCTATGTTTCCAGATGGAAAATCTAATGAGGAACTTTTGTGCTAAATCATTCCAAGTGGTGATTGAATTTGCAGGCTCTGAGTTGAACCATATTTTTACTTCCCCAAGTAAAGAAAAGGGGAATATAGTGAGCCTCACATAATCTTTATATACTCCAGTAGGAGTGTAAGTATCACTGGTCTCTAGAAAGTCCTGAATGTGTACCGTAGGATCCTTATTTGAAAGAGCAGTAAACTGCCCATTCGTGTGCAACATTTCACCATACTATGCTTCAGTTCAAATCTCCCACCAGCTTCAGGTTTCTAAATGCATGAAGTCACATTGTTGTATGGATTACCACATCTCTAACTCTCATCTCATTAACTGTCATTGTCTCAGGTTCCTGTTCTCTTTAGTGACTGGTAATGGTAATTCCCCAATAACCAATTGGATTGGATATTTACCTTGCCTTCGCTTTTTGTGTAGAAATATTTCCGGTTCTGATAAAGGCGATAACAATTCTCCATTGTTGCCCAGTTTGGAGTAGCAACCAACCTGCAACAATGAAATGCTATGATCAACTTGTCAACCTTGAATTTAACTTCAGTTTTCAGAAAAATAAAATATTTCCTAATTCTAAAGTCCCCGACAGTGGCGCGAAAAACTTGTTACGGCAAATCATACCCACAGGGTTTTAAGATCAAAACTTAATCAATTTTTCCCAAAATCTTGTTGCGGTCAAATCGCACACGAAAGTGCACGTGATCGTACAAGTAATAAAGTGACTCTTTTTGAGAGCCGAATATCGTACCCACAGGGACTTAAGACTAGAACTTAATCAATTTTGCTAACTTGTAATTCAACAGAAGTGTAGTTTCCAGATTTTAAAGGTTGTTTATTACCTACTTCTAAACATAAACTGAAATATAACTGAGACAATTTAATTTCGTGATTTTCAAACAATAATTTGTAAAATATCCAAGGTTGCCACTCTATTCAGGAGTCATGTAATCAATATCATTTAAATGGTTATTTATTGAACTATCAAATCACTGAATCACAGGGTTAAATGTATGATTATGGTCTCCCGACCTCTAATCTCCTACAATAGATAACACTCTAACTAACTACATCGTTGAGCGGGGATAGAGTGATTAAATACTGAGCATTATGCTATCTTCTTTATGGGGACCCAAGCGAGGTCTCTAGGTATATCTCTATCCTAGACAAATCAACCCTTGCTATTTAGGGTTCAAGAAGCTCATTATGCCCTACAATCTATCCTCTTGTTCCTTTACCTAGTCCAATTCGGACAATAAAATTATTTCTATGGTGATCAAGCATGAAATACAAAAGATCAGAACATAAGAGAGATTCATGCAATAGTTCCTGAAAAAACCAAAATCAAACTCCATAGATTGCATTCATCATATATCCACAACCCTAGAACTAGGGTATTTAGCTACTCATAATCTGATAATCAATCTTACAATGATTAAGAATCATTCAAATAAGATTGGAAGGAAAAATGATAAAGAATTAACACTAGAAAACTCCACAACGTAGTTTTTCTGTTCTCCGCTCAAAAATTAGAAAAAAGAAGTCCCCCTAAAACTAAAATAATACCCTATTTATACTAAAAGTCGAACTGGCTAATTCAGAGCCTCAGGCGCGCGAGACGCAGCAATCTTTAGATCCCAAATCAAACAATAAAGCTCTATTGTGCGATGCGAGGGCTGCACGAGGCGTTCTGCCTCGAATTTAATTCTTGAACTGATTTTTTTCACTCTCTTCTGCGCAACGCGAGGTCTTAATGCACTTGCTTTGGAGCATTTCTTTCATCTTATTTCTTGCTTCCTTTTGTCTCGAATCTTCAGATTGCTTCCTTCGCCCCTTTTATGCACATTTCTCCCAAAAAGTTTTCCTACACAACTAATCATGTCGATTAGCTCAGAAATACATAAATGACTCGATACTACTCTAGACACATACTTTGTGAATTCAAATTAGGCTTAAACGTGGACTTACTTAACACTTAAGTCATATAAATAAAGATTTTCTTTGATTTATGCTTTCTGAGATTCTTCATTTAGGCAATTCCTTGAGTCAAGGTCCTTGGTTGACAATCCTCAATCATCCTTAATGTGATTTTTTTATTGATGGGGATCTTATTTTCCATGATGCCTTTATTTCATGATTCCTTCTTGATTCTTTCCTTTTCGATGACGAGTTTGTCCTGCAAGAATGAGTTGTTTATCATTAAAATTTTGCACAAACAAGTTGCTTCTGAACTAAACCAAACATAATGTTCTGCAATGGTATAAAATTAATTATCACGCATATTGGTACTTGATCTGTTAATACTAACATCAAGTCTGATAAGAACCTCTACACAAGAGTCACAATACCCATAATTATTATGTCTCCAAATGAAGTGGTCATTCAACATCAATAGAAGCCAACTTCCTTTAACACCTTATTACACTATGAAAATTAATAAAACTCAAAGACAAACTATTCATAGAGTTGGATTGTATCTTCCAAAATAGAGGTATTCACACATGGACAATCATATTTCACAGTATCACGTGTAACAACAAAAGAAGGATTGACAATCCTCAATCCGGGCAAGGACACAAAAGACCAAAGATTCATTAAACATAATATTTACAAAGAAACTTTCTTGAATATATGTCCATTGGAAAGTGAGTAGATATACCATTTACCACAAAGTATAGCTATTGCAACATATTTTTAAGAGAAAAAAATTACAGAAAAAACTTTTCAAATGACTAACCGTACAAATGTGGATTCATGATGGAGATAAGATGCAAATGACTCTAAATACAACCATATGTTAGGTTATATTAGATATAATCAATTCAAAAAAATGATAATCTTTTTATGAATACGTACTTTGAGAGTTCGTAACTTATACAATTTAAAATTATATACCAAATACTAACTAATGACCTGACAAATGATTATAGATAAACTTAATGAGGATGATATGTCATGGATATGAATCAGAGGTTAGCAAAGGACAATAATATTATTGTTGTCTGATTTTAGTTTCGAAATATGTGTCTGGATAATGTGATATTGAAAATATTATTAGTTTGGATATGTCACTTTGCCTCTGGTGTAAACTCAACATGCAGGGCGAATTATGAGAGGCGATAAAACGCATCAGAGTTGTAATAGGCTCAAATAAAAATAAAACAATGAAGATTATCCACTAAAAATGAAGAAATTGAAAATAAAAATTGGTATATAAGTTGATAAAAAAAAAGGAAATAAAAAAGGGAATGAGAAATAGAACCTTCGGAATGATTTTCTTTTTACTTCAGAGTATATGAAAGTTCTGTTGGAAATTCCTTTAGAAGTTGATGTGGTATTTATTATTTCTTGATGTGGAAATTTCTTTAGACATTAGGATACTTTTAAATAGTAATTGTGTCAATACAATGAATTGAAGTTGGGCTTATAATGAATAGATATGTAGATGTCTATTGTGAAAAAATAAATTTAATTACATTTATGACACCTAAAGATGACTAGAGCTTCGGTCAGAGGTAGGAATACGTAATTCAATACTAGCGTGCATGAAAGTCTACATAATAGGAGATTGACCTGCAATTTGATATTGTTATTAATAACACGTATTACATTTCTAATGAAGTCACCTATGATAGAGAATATGCGGTTTACTAATTCAAGTTGATAAACAACGATATATAATATAATGTGCACATCACTATAACTGCTCACACCACAAATCATTGTGATTTTTTTTGTCCCTCGCCATTGGATGAGTCATCTATATCATACAATAGGTAATTATTGTCTAAGGTCTGCTTGATGACAACGTTTTAAACAGAGCCACTTGATCTATAACTTTGCATACTATGCACATTGTTTAGTGGCAAAGCCAACAAAAGTTGTCATGCTAACTATGTCGTATTTTAGTCAACAGTTTGCTACAACTTAAGAACAAACAATATAAACCAACGAAAAATAATATGTCGCCTTCGACAATATCTACAAAATTAGATACAAGATAAACAACATTAAAAGAAAACAAATAAATATCGGTGTGAATTTAAGATTGGTGTAACACACAGAATACTCAAAGTGTATTAATCAACTAGATGCCAAGGTTGAACACACTCTTGTTAGATCAATAGTATGATGTCTTATGAAATATGTTGCTATTAAGAATTAGATGAAAAATACAATTCGTCAAGGATGTACATACAAACTTACAAGGAATGAACTATAAATTAACCCGACTTACTCGTATTCAAACTTAACCGATGCAAATTAAAAGTCTCAACAATAATATGTTCTTAGACGTATATCCTAAAACCTGAGAAACAAAATGATAATAAGTTAAACTTGTGCATTAACACTATTTCTAACAACTACACTACAAATATTATAAGATGTGACCAAATTGGGATAGTTCACACTAGTGCGGAGCTCGGACAATTGACCTAGTACTAGATATAATTGTTTTTTTTAATTAATTCATTTAGAATATTAAGATCTAAACCTGAAACAATAGGTTTGTTTATATTATTATTTTCTGGAAAGTGGAAATATAAAATAATGTCCAAATTATTTTTTTGGAAAGTGAAATTAGGTTTGTTATGTTGAATGTGTGTGTTGATTTTTGGTGTAGGGTTTTTGATTGGTTAAAGTAGTACTACACATACATCTGCCGAAACTAGCAGTGAAGTTCAATGGGCAGAAAGAAGACAACAGAAGAGAACCCTGAACCTCCCAAGCACGGCGGTGGAGGAGGGAAGTCCAAGAAGAAGAATCGAATGATTGCCGATGATGAGTACTCTGTCCAGACTGAAGAACCTACAGTTCAGGAAGATACAGTACTTGATGATGATGACAGAAAGAAGCCGGCCAAGCAGGGTGGTGGTAAGTCAAGGAAGAAGAATGTGGTAATTGATGATGATGATGAATACACTGTTGCGACAGAGGAACCTGTCGTTCTGGAAGAAAA